AATTTTTTCCCCTGTTGTTTGAGTCAGATTAATATTTCTTGAGAGGAAAGTAATCCCAGTTTTCTCCAGCGTGTGGTTCTTAAGTAAAATAACGTGAAGCACATTGCTGTTTATTATCTGATTATTCTAGTCACTAAACAATTTGGTGCAAATTGCACAGAGGGTTTCTGCCACACTTGCTTTTCAGGCTAAGAAACCGAGTGCCTGCTGACTAAACCTCAGCTGATTAGAGTTCATGCAGATGTCAGCGTTGCTATTCTGTAAGGAATTTGAGGGAAAGGCATGACCGGTCACATGCAATGCCCTAATAGCCATGAGCGCGATAGGGAAGTGAACTGCACAGTGCCCGTTAGGTTTCGTTGTCTATCCGATTACTTATCAAGATGTAGAAGAAAAAACATTAGAAAGCAAATTCTATCTGCTCAAGTTTATCAACACAACCTTCTTCTCCCTTATTTGGCAGTCAAATCATCGCTCTCCCTGTTTACTTCCCTGAGTACAGAGCTGAACCAGAACGTAATAGTTTGGTCTTATCTTCCTTTTTCATACAGTCTGGCTTTAAATACGTACCTCTAAGTGAACCACATAAATGTCAGCCAATAAAAACAAAAGTTTTTCGTAAATACGACAAAGGAAGAGGCGAAGTATATTTTATGCACAATGACATGGAAGTTTATTCCTTTTTAAAGTCTTAGTTAGGAAATGTTGTGCATCTCATTTTAGGCTAGGTTTGCATAAATACAGGTAGCAGCGGTTGGGTATCACTGTAACATAATCCTGCGTAGTATGGCTTCAGCTACTGACTTTTTTTTATTTTGAAGTAATCAAAGGATATTTTTCACTCAAAGGTTTCATATAAATTGAAAAATGGTGAAGAAATTGAATAAAATGTAGTTTAGCACCAGATATGACAAAGACAACAAATCAAGTTTGTTTTGTTTTTTTGGGTTTTTTTCAGCTCTTTGATGCTACACAGCACAAAATATCAGCCACTGCCATTATTAAGATACTAGCGAGCTAATTTCAGTCAAGAAGGTGGATAAATCGGTGCATCTCTACTCAAAATATGTTTCAATTATCAGAGCACTCCCAGGTTAATTTAAGCTAGATCAGCAGATTTGTCAAACATATAGTTGCAGTTTGATTTCCTCATTTCTTTTCACTTTGTTTTTTACTGGCACTTTGGCTTTCAGAGTATCATCAGGTAGACACCCTGCAAGCTAGCAACGCTGGTCTCGTATACTAACTGTCAAAAATGTCTGTTTCCCAGCATCCATACAAACTGATGATAAAAAAAAACACCATTCACAATGAACAACACTGCGCAGAGCTGAGTTAAAAAGACTTTCAAAGATAAAATTACAGTGACATGTCGGAGAAAGATGAGCCAATATGACAGGCAAAGCTAATTCTGAAATAATTCAGTGGTAATTCTCCATATTAATGCAGACTGATATCTTATCAGCGAGGAAGCTGTTCCACCATGGTAGCTAAGAGAAGCAGGGCTTATTGCAGAAATAACCAATCAAACTGAAATAGGGACTCGCTGCTGTCAGAGCTGCTCAGAATTTGTTTGATTTTACGACTTTGAAACACAGAGCGGAGGCTTCAAGCTCAGATCACAGCACAGTGAACAAAAAGAGATGTTATCTCAATGTGGAACACGTTATAAACATGCAATGAGAGCAACCTGCTACGTGAGTGACAGAAATGGCTGCATTCAACATTATGGAGTGTTAAAAGTGAAGCGAGCTGTCTTTGTACTATAATTACAAAGTGTAGTGTATACGGTACCTGCGCTTTGCTTGTATGAACTCCTCTTGAAAACTGAAGTGTTTTAAGCTCTTTTTCCTGCTTGACTCACCTCTGAGCACATGCTCCCACTTACATTTAAAGTTGTTATTTTTTAAATGTGCTGTTTGAATGCGACAGATTCAAGTATAAACACAATTATTTTTCACAGCTTCTTACGCACCCATACGCATTGAAAGATGCTTTTTTGCCACAAGATTATTATAACAGATTAAATTATTAAAAGTTATTTTTATTCAGCAAAGTTTTGAATCAGTTGTCACGTTTCATTGCATAACTTGTATGACCAAATGTAAACCATGGGAGCCGTGGATGCACTGTGGGCTGCAGTGTGAGCCTTGTTCTATAGCTTGGACTTAAGAAACATCCTGTTACATTTACTGACAATAAACTACTTTATTAAAGAAATTTAAGCTGTTTTTTTTGTTTGTTTTTTTTGCATTGGCTCCAATTACGCACAAATAGTAACACAGCGTGATGTGAAACATGCTAGTACTACATACTGATAAGTCACATTGCTGTCACTTGCAACACAATCATCATTATGCCAAACTTGTATATATTTTATTTAAAAAGGGAATAATTTTTTTTGTACTTCTTTACCATTTTTCTCTGTTCAGCAATGCAGATGATAATGTTTCATGAGTCTTGAAGTTAATTTAGTGTTGGAAAATTGTTGTGATTGTATTGTTTTAAGTTATTTTGTGATTCCTAGTTTGCATAGCAGGTATTATTTCATGTCTTTCATTAAGATAAGTAAACTACTTGCTTCTGTACATTTTCTGATTTACATAGGTCTATGCAGCGTCATACAGCAGCAGGCTGTACAGCCGGCCCTTCATCGAGTACTTTGAAGAGACCCCCATGATGGTGGCAGTGCTCACATACATGGGCTACGGCATCCTGACCATCTTTGGCTACCTCCGTGACTTCCTTCGTCACTGGAAGATTGAAAGGTGCCACATCGCCAGAGAGAAAGAGGAGCAAAAGGTAAGATGAAAAACAAATGCAACCATAAATCTGCAGGAACACAAAATCAATTGATCTAAAAGGTGGTAATCAAAGTTATGGCTCATGCTAAGAAATTCCAGATAAAGGCAGCAGTTGAGAAACTTGGTTGCCCTTTACCTAAACGCAGTAGCTGTAGCGCTATGATTGCTTCTGGCAGGGATTCATCTCGCATTTCAGGTGTTGAATGGTTCTTATCTGGGAGACTGAGCTCTAATTACATGTTGCCTGGTGACCAAATTGTTGCAGTGTTTGTGCGGGAACAGTAGTGATAACAAAAGGGGGGGGGACCTTTTGTAGTTTCATTAATCAAAGTAAGCCAATGTGATATTTGCACACTACAAAGCAAGCATCCATCTCAATCACTAGAATCTGCACTGTAGGTTGTCATATTGCAAACATTTTAATCAGGATTGCTTGAAGCTTGGTGTTTTTTAAAGAAAGCAAGCATCAGTTGTTTGAAATGAGCCCGTCAGCTGTAATTATGTCCAGCTATGGAGAACTTTACATAGAAATATTCTTTGTTGCCTTTAATCCAAAGTAGTCTAGTGTGCATGCTTAACATTGCGTTTTTGTTAGAGGTGGAACATGTTTAGAGTGTCTTCTGTGTCACTCACTTTGTTTCCAACATCTTATGTAATGTGTGAAAGTAAAGCCCATTGTTCCCAGAATTTAGTTATGTCAAGGAAAGGAAGCCTTTCGTGGGGAAATCACTAAATGGGCCTGACGATATCGGACGGATGTTTTCCTCCATGAAACAAGGAATATCAGCTCCCTTGATCATGTGTGTTCTTTTAAATGTTGTTGTAATGCTTAAACTGGATGAGATTAAATTCTTTCCTTGTGAGCTTTTGAAGAAACTTGAAACTGTGAAGATCTAGATATCGTTACAGGAAATACCAGTGATGTAGGAGAAAATTCCTATATGTTGTGCAGCTTTTTACTTCCCTTTATTATCTACCTTTTTATCCATTTGTAGGATTTTGTACCGCTCTACCAGGATTTTGAGAACTTTTACACCAGAAACCTTTATATGCGGATAAGAGACAACTGGAACAGGCCTATATGCAGCGTCCCGGGAGCCAAGATGGATCTGATGGAACGAGCCACCTACGACTACAACTGGACTTTTGAGTGAGATTAATGTAGCTTTCATTCAAGAGCGCAAATATTGTTATCATTAAGCTAACCTTAAGGTTTTCAGGCACACAATAGCAATGGGAAGTGTGCTTTATAACTGCTGTGTTACCAACATTACACAAGGTTGGTCAGGTTCCAGACGTCTCTCACTAGACACGGTTTTTTAAAAGCTCTGGCAGGCCTTTCCATTATCCCTGATTAAATAAAACACGAAAACTAATGTACAGTACAATAGCACTAGACTCATAAATCAGCCAGGCTCATATCAGGTGACAGTTGCTTAATGTATTTGCATAATAGACACAAAACTACTTTAACTGAGTTGCAGAATTCAAAGGATGCTGTAAACCTGCCTTTGAGATTGACGTGGTTTTCATAGAAATTTTTCACCTGGACATTAATATGATATGACTGTATGACTATAATAGGAGTTTTGGTTTGTGACTTGGTGCATTAATTCGGAACAGAATTCAAGATTTATAAGACCAGGTTGCTTTTCCTTTTGAACTATCCTCTTTTGACAGAGTCTGTGCCCACTCCAGCCTTAGCTTTCTGTTGAATTTCTCTTTTTTTCAGCACCAAGTAATAAAAGAAGCTGCTCACTGGATTTGTTACTTTTGTTTTACACTAAATGGTAAATTTAGTGTAAAACAAATGTATTTGTATAGCGCTTTACTAGTCCCTAAGGACCCCAAAGCGCTTTACACATTCAGTCATCCACCCATTCACACACACATTCACACACTGGTGACGGCAGCTACATTGTAGCAACAGCCACCCTGGGGCGCACTGACAGAGGCGAGGCTGCCGAACACTGGCAGTAGGCAACGGATGAAGTGTCTTGCCCAAGGACACAACGACCGAGCCAAGCCAGGGCTCGAACCAGCAACCTTCCGATTACAAGGCGAACTCCCAACTCTTGAGCCACTGCTACACTAAAGGCTGTTGTGGTGAAAATCCTGTTTTAGCTGATTGGATAAGTGACTCAGAAGGTGTAGAATTGTTCCTAATAAAGTTTATTTCTCTAGATCCTAATAAAACTAGAGAAATCTTGAACACATTCATTACAGCATTATATTGCATAGAGCAGGTACGATTCTCACCTTGTTTACCTCTGTGTTTAGTATGTAAATTCTATGAACAGACAGAACATGTACTCAGACAATATAAACACGAGACAAGACCTTGATACCAGAAGCTTGTTGTTTAGAGTCCATTGACCACTAATCCTTAAGCAGGGTTTGGTTGCATGCACATGAACAGTTAAGGTGGACAGGGAACGTTGGATTGCGTTTTTAATTTGTCTCGTGGTGTGCTTTGGAAATCATCCTGTTGATGCAAAAGAAAAAAAAATGCTAGTTTCTGCTTGTTAGACTGTGTTACCTTTGACCTTTTTGTAGATTTAACTAAAGAGATGTGAACAAATTCTGTGGTTTTGCAGCACGGTGCTAATAACAAAGCTACAGTTTAATAGTTTAACGTTGGCTCTTTGCCAAGTTGTCTGTTTGTGGAGACACAACACTGGCTCATCCAGCGAGTTAGGTGCCTTTTTTTATGCTTAAGTGTTTATGTTTCAGTGTTAAGTGGTTTAACAAAGAAGGCTGTCTGAAAATGTTCAGGTACAAAGACTGAACTGGAAATAAAAACCATTGAAAGACTTTCAGGAAGCCTGGAGAATTGTTCCTCGAGACAACTTTAAAAATTGCACGTCGTTCTGGTTCTTGGCTGCAAAATATAAAAACATGTTGAATGTTAAGACTTTCGTGCAGAATTGTATATGTAGCAGTTTTGTCTTGTTCTTTAATCTTGCTTATGCATTTCAATGATGCCGTGGTTCAGTCATCCTGCAAGCTAATTCAGATCTAGAATAGAATATTTTCTGATGTAAATGTAGTCTCAGAGGTGGAGGTTTAAATTTATCGAGGTTTGAAATGCAAATCGGGCTAATATTTAACCTCTGATAAACCCAGTGGACCCTAATCTAGTTTCCTTTTTATGTGATTCGTGACTGATGGTGCGAACAGATCGTTTTTGTTCTTTTATATATACTTTATATTATGAAGGTGATAACCCCAGAATGAACAGTCATGTAGGCGTTCATCTCATATTAAAATCGGTCGAACTTAAGATCTATAATGTTTGTGAAGTCAGACAAAACACAAGTGAGAAGATGTGGGAGAGACAGAGACCAGAAAGATTGGAAAAACAAAGAGCACGCTGATGCTATCCAACCTTTCAGTCTAGTTTTTAATTACTTCTACCAATCATTACTATTAATTATACCAATCTGTTTCGTTTCTTCTCATTGATCGTTTCCTGTGTCTGTTTATCTCCTCCTCTCACCCTCTCTTGCAGATACACGGGTCGGGTAGTGCAGGATGTGATTAACTTGGGCTCGTATAATTACCTCGGCTTCGCTGAGAATACAGGTCCGTGTGCTGACTCTGCAGCTGAAGTCACCATGAAGTACGGTGTTGGAGTTGCGAGCACGAGGCAGGAGATTGGTACAAACACATGGCAAAACACAGACACACCCTCTACCTTTGCTATCACTGCTGGGTCTTAAATGGCAAGACTGAGCACAGCTGAATTCACCTCGGTAAACAAAATGTCATAAACCAGTTAGTTTAGTAAAGCTGTGGGAACTCGTATGATGATCATCTGTGCGCGGCGTTTGAGCTAATTGCAAATTACCGTGACTTTTCTGTCTTTAGAAATGCTTTCAAATAAGTCTCACTGACCACTTTGTAAAGTACAGTTTAGGCATTAGTCTGGTGTTGGAGCACCTTTAACCTTAAGAAAAGTTTTAATTCTTCTTGGCATAGATTCAGCAACATGCTGGAAACATCCAAACACATCTATGATGCAAATCTCTCCCTTGGTTGTAACGAGTAGTTATTTGAGTTGCCTTCTTATCAGCTTGAAGCATGCTCCTCTAACCTCCTACAAACCACAACCAGTGAACTGCTGCTCTCACTGGATCTCTTCTCTTGTTGTGTGGGAAGATTCCAGCAGATTAGCAGGTTCTGAAATGCATCGGACACCATGCCACATTCAAAGTCCCTGAACTCACCTTTCTTCCCCTTTCTAATGCTCATTTTATCTTGACTGTGTTTACATGCCTAAATGTGTTATCGTCGCCATTTAAATAACTGATTTAATATAGTTGAACACGTCCCTAATGAAGTGGCTGGTGAGTGTAGATGGCTGTAATGCTTATGTACACTATAGTTTATATCCAACATAATCTATTGTTTGGTGAAAAATATTTAGTCATATTTGACCACTTAATTAGAGCTTGGATCTTGGATTTGTACGAATACTGGAAATGGAGCGAAACACAAAATATAACAGTTACTGCTTAATGTTGTAAACATGTTGTATCCTGTTCGTTTAATTCATACAAAAGCAAAGAGACAATATTTAAAGTTTTGATAACCTCACAGGATGTGAAGAAGTCTAAATAAAATCCACAACTTGATGTCTTTACACTTGGATGTTATATGAACTGGACAAACAAGATATATCATGTGAACTTTAAGTATCTGAGTATCGGCAAGTTCCCTTTTTTTAACTCCCCAGACAGAAGCGCAACTTGATTGGAGCAGAATGCGATCAGTGCAGTTTGTCAGTCAGTACAATTATGCAAAAAAGCTCAAGGTGAAGGGGTTAAACTTGGTGGAGAGGAGAAGCATGGGCAAAGGAGGAAGCTGTTCTACTTGGTGAATATCGGTCTCACCATCTTAACCGTGAAATAGGGACTTGGCTTTGGCGGTGGATCCTTGAGTTCTCTTGTTTTATTTAACTTGAACAAAGCTGGGGTAGCTGTTTCCCTCCATTTCCAGTCTTTATGCTTATTTTATTGATCTTCTGTGGTATCATCTCCCAGGAGAAGCAAGTAAATAAATAATACTTAAAAAATCGATGTCAGTTTTAGAACTTCAAGGTGTTCAGTGGTATCCGTTTATTTTAAGCTCCCATGTTTTTTGTGGGTTTTATTTTTTCTTTTAATTCATGTATTTATTTATTTTTTTGTTCCTCAGGTAACCTGGACAGACACGAGGAGATGGAGAAACAGGTGGCTAGGTTCCTGGGTGTGGAATCAGCCATGGCGTTCGGCATGGGATTTGCAACTAACTCGATGAACATACCAGCACTCGTTGGCAAGGTAAGACCCCAAGTGACACATGGGACAAGGATGAGCTTATTTCCAGCAAGATATCCTGGATGTTCATGGGTCTTTTCTAAGTATGTTTACTTAATAGCACGCTATTGTAGGTCACCAGTTACACCAAGCACCTTATCTTATATCAGGAAGAAACACTTGCTGGTGACTGGCTGGTTGTGTGTGTTTAAGTGAAAAAGGAGCAAACTAAGGAAGTGAAAGCCAACAGTGGTGAGACTGCTAAAGACTTCTGCTCTAATAAAATGATTCAGACCTGCTGGTATAAAGGCGTAGGGTTAGACTCAGAGCAGCGAGGTATGAAACAATGCAGTTCTACAAAGCAAGCTGCATTCTCAGTGTAATTCTCTCAGCAGAGGTCGTTCTGTATAATTGTACAAAAGGATTCTCCACCCTCTCACCAGCCGATAAAAACAATGTTGACTAAAAAACAGCAGTCCATCTGCTATTGTGCGCAACAAATCCTATATGTGTGAAATATTAATGCTAATGAATCTTCTGCAGGGTTGTCTAATCCTGAGTGATGAGCTGAACCATGCCTCTCTGGTGCTGGGAGCCAGACTATCTGGGTCCACCATCAGAGTCTTTAAACACAACAGTGAGTCTCATATTGGTTCTTATCCATCTGCCTCCTATTTGCATTTATTCCCATGCATTAGCCATGTCGTAAAGCTTCCATTGCTTCTTAAGGTCTGTAATTATAGCGCTTTTTATTAGTTTGATTGTCTCATCGAATGTTTGCCAGCTTTAAAACAACGTTGGTGCAAAAGAGAAAGCATTTTGATGTAGCATACAAAGGAAGACCACTCCTAAAACCACAGCTTTCATTTTGAATGTTAACACTTCAGATTTTTGTTTTTTCCTGTCAGATATGCAGAGCCTTGAAAAACTGTTGAGAGAAGCCATCGTTCATGGCCAACCCAGGACTCACAGGCCATGGAAGAAGATCCTAATAGTTGTTGAAGGCATTTACAGGTACTGCTTTGATTTCCTGTTTATATCATACATGACTTCATGGGGAAAATAAATATTTAGAACTTTTGAGTCTGTTACATGTGCATATTTAATCTATTGGGAGTAAATTTAAATCTTGTCTTTGGTAGGAGAAAGTCTCAGCGCTGACTTTATACAATTTTTGCAACTGTACTGAAAGTGTCTTTGGCCTTATGCAGTAGAAAAAGTTTCCCACTTTTAAAATTCCCTTTATTTTCCTTCCTAGTTTCAGGTTGAGCAAGACCTAAAAACTTTATTGCATAAGCAGCAATTATCTGTGGCCAATGCCCCTCGCTGGATTATTAAGAATGATTGTTGATGTATTTCTGGTGCAAAGACGTACATGCATTAAGCACATGCAAGAACAGGTTCAGCTTCCTCTGATGGTTCAGTCAGGTGAGAATGT